TGCAATTTGGTGGCTATAGACTGAGAACTGAGCCAATTCTTGTAATACTGTCATCAAGCTGCAGACCCTTCTTGACGGTCAGAGCACACCTGTCCGGTGAGCTAACTGCTTGTTTGTATCAGCCTGCCAGGGAGCAGCATGAAATTGATAGGTCTCTATTCTCCAACTTGGGAAAACCAAGAATGATTTGTGGGAAAAAAGTCTTACCAGTTTTGTTCTATTTACCAACAGTGGAAAACTGAGCCCGTTACTTAACTTAGGCTCAGTTTCGTCAACAGAAAAATAGGGATAATGATGCCTATGCACATGTGGGCAAATGCTCTGTAAATGGCAGTTTATGTTATTGGGTTCTGAATTTTCACATTTACTCAGTTGTAAGGCAATACCTTTAAACCATCCTTACAATTTCAACACATTAGTTTATCCAAAATACATTTTCAGTGGGCTCCTTCCTGACTACTCCTGGGAAGACTTTCTGTAACCACTGATCACAATCACAGGATATAGATTTACCACTCCTGGGGGTGTATTTTCTCCCTTTGCCTATATTCAGCTATTCTTAAGCATCCTTATGGAGTCTGCCTCACCTGTATTAGCAGCTATCACTGAAAATTACCTTTTTATTTCTTACCTCATTCAAATCTTGTACTTGCACTGTCTCTTGACTTTTCATACAGGTTTCTCTGGTATTTTCCTATATTACTGATAACTCGGGCTCTAAGAGGGAAATCTTAATCCAAATAAATCATCAGTTAAAAATACATACATACACGTGTTATTCTTAAAAATACTGAAAACTATAGTTCTTAAGTGTCCTTCCCTGAAGCTATACCTTGAAAACTTTCCATACCAACCAGTTTCACCTCTTGTCTGGTCTTGGATCCTTTGGAGAGTTGCTTTATTAAGTGTTTGAGCCCTCACTGCTGTTTGGCAGCTGAACCAAAGGAACCAAGTATTAGAAAAATACACAGGATCCTCATTGTCCTGATTTAAGCTGGTAATGTACCTTTTTTTTCACTTTTGAAAAGTAACATTTTATTATAGATTGGCCCAGTAACAAAACCATATGCAAAAGAAGCTTCTGAGTATTTAGATGTAATTTAGAAATAGAAGAAACCAACACTGATATTACTTTTATTCAGAATTAGGTTTCAACAGAAACTTCAATTAAGTTTTTAGTTTAGTTCAGAGACAAAAACATTCATTTACATGAGCTGAAGAGGAAAAGGTTGATCCACCAAAAAGTTTTACCTAATTACATTTTGGAGAAAAGTATTCTGGGGCTTTGCTTGTCCTTCTGGATTCACAATTTACTGCCAGATATGTACTAAATTAACCAACAAGTTTTTCAAAAATTAATTTATTAGTTTAGTAAAGTTGATCATCAATAATTTACCTTTCTTGTGTTTAATATTCATAAAATAGGAAGAGATGGATTGGAAAAATTGAGACAGGCAACTGGAAAAATGGATGCTGAAACCACCACCCCCCCCCCCAGCGTAACTTTTACAAATCCTCCTGTCTGGGGTATAGAAAAAAGACCTGGTTAAGAATCAGGTCAACTTCCTAGCAGCACTGGACAAGGATATAGGAAAGGGTATATTTTTTCCTCAGAGCAGCTTCTCCCCTTCACCAGCCCCCGTTTTACCCTGATGAATGTTTCTGCAAGTCCACACATGACATGCTGATGCATTCAGCATCAAGGCAAGAATGTCCTTGGCTCCACCCTTATACCACCTGAGATGCCTCAGTGCAAAGTGTGAGAAACATTTCAACTCTTAAACATGAAAACTCCCCTCATTTTGTGTTTTCCTTTGTGTTTCTTCATATAAGAATGTCATGTATTTTAATGCTATGACTTTTAAAAGATAGCTTTTCAAAAGAATATATATATGAAATTTAACATAATTTGCGGCATACTAAAAATGGTGATGCATTTAGGCAAGTATGTCCTTTGTGTACTTCATGGTGAACAAAGTTTAACACAGAAAAACAGCAGAGGGGCAGAGGGGCAGCGGATAGTATAAGGAATGAGTGGTGGGATAGAGAGAGGTCTGGATAGCTGATGGGAGTCAACCTCACCTGTCAGGCAGCAGTAAGCAAAGGGAAGCACTACTAGACTCGCTAGGGAATTGCCTCATTGGCATGGGGTAATCACCAACGACTCTGGAGAAAGGTGTAACAGCTCAGAATTTTCCACTTTCAGTGTTCTACTACCCCAAAGGTGGGGATCATCTCATGCTCTGAAGCAAACTGTGCCTCCCAGGCACAGGATGACAAGTGCCACTGCCACCCCCACTATGTGCCTGCACGATGCTGGGCCCTCTCACAGACACAGGCCAGGGGGCAGCAGGTGCGGGCACTGAGGAGGATGGATGCAACATGCCCAGTCATCACCTCCAGGTGGACACGATTTATGTGCTCAGTGTGGAGCATGTGGTAACCCCCATGAGGTATAATTAATTTCCTATATAACCCCCCCATAAATCCTCGTAAGAGCTGACATGATGTGTGGTGATGAGCACTGGGCGTTATATGCAACTAATGAATCGTTGAACATTACATCAAAAACTAATGATGTACTACACGTTCCCTAATTAAACATAAAAAGAGTTGATATGATGTACATAATCAGTTCTAAGTCCGGACAAACCTGGAATAACTCCTAGCTCTGCCTCTCACTTTGTTCCAGTCCCTTTAAGTTCTCTCAACTATGAAATGGGAATATCCTTACTTACCTTGGGGAGGGCTGTTACAGGGATTACTTGAGATTTATGTAAACAGATCATGGCATATGAGAGATGCTCAACATATAGTGGCTATAATCATTCCTTTTTTTAATTTAATTTTACTTATTTATTTGACAGAGAGAGAGAGAGTACAAGCAGGGGGAGTGGCAGGCAGAGGGAGTTGAGCAGAGAGCCCTATGTGGGACTCCATCTTAGGACTCTGGGATCATGACCTGAGCCGAAGGCAGATGCTGAACCGACTGTGCCACCCAGGCGCCCCGGCTATTATCATTCCTATCAGATACCTAGCATTTCTTCTTTTTAAGCATTTTCTCTGAGAATATGCATGTTAGCAGCACTAAGATGGTCTAATTAATGGTAAATCTGTCTGCATATAGAAATGGGTAAGGAATACAGGTCATTATCTTGAGGAGCCTGCACAATTTAAGGGATTGGTTTTCTAAATTATTTGTCCGTTTAAAGTCATCCCCTCCCATTTATTTTCAAAAGAATTCTTATGGGGAAACTGTCTACAGGGTGCCCAGAAATGGAGGCTTCTCTGGTTGATGTGGAGGCAGAAGACCTAGAGCTCTGCATCTGTGGAACATCAAGGATCCTTGAAACACAGTTTGAAAATCACAGTGGCAAAAACATGGGTTTTGCAGTCAGTTGAAATTTGAAATCTTCACATTTATGAATTTGTGATCTTGATTTCCTCGCCTATGCAGCAGGGTGAATGACAATTATCTCCCAGAATGTTACGTTAACATTAAATGAGTTATATCAAACCCACAGCAGAGTCATTTCAACATTGTGTAGGCACTGAAATCTTAGTTTCCATCGCCTTACTTCCTTTTTGTAGAGAACAGAAAGTAAAGTAGTAAGAGACCAGGAATGATCGCATGAGGCACCCACACACTCACATAAAAGTTGAAGATCCATGCCAAAGGGAGCATGGCCCTGGATCAAGATCTGAAACTCCTAACCTATTGATTACAGCACTCAGTTCACTCAATTCCACAGCTGAGAATGATCCTTTAGTTAATACTTAGCGATATCACCACTGCCTGGCTGCTAAACTCGATCAAGAAAGCTTGAATCTTTTTCTTCACAGAAGATCAAGAGAGAACTTTGATGGCAAAAGTTTATTTAGTATTATTTTAGAAATCCACACATATTGCACATCTTGATGACAAGATCAAGAAAACTGGTTTATACCACAGCCTAGAGGTTTGAGAGTAGACAAAGAAAAAACTTCTGGTATTTAAAATTAAACATGAGAGGGATATGTATGATCTTTTCTAAACATGTTTTAAAATATGACATATACTCATTTATTCAGAATGTCATAGATGACACCTATCATAGAGGGAGGTGGATTAGCCAGTTACTCTACAAGGATCTTTTCTACTGTTAAGAATTCTGTGATACAGAGGGCCACATGGCAGTACACCACTGGTAAGTATCTCTCCCTTCAGGAAAGAACTTGGCACACTCTTCCCAGGCAGCCTCCAATGAACGACTGAGCATGGTGGGGATGTTAAGTCCTGGCCATTTCTGGTTAATGTGGGATTCCTTCACAGGTTAGCATTGTGCCAAAGCCCTGTTGGTCTGAATGAGACTCCTCAGAACTATACCACAGTCTGAGGCTCTTCCTATCCAATCTTCCTTTCTTCTCCTTCTTTAACAGATATCAGACCTGCATCATGATCTAAAGGCTTTGCTAGCCCACGGCTGTCCTTTCCTTGATCCTTCTCAGGCACCACCCCCAATAACTCTCCTGCAATTCTAGGTTTGTCTTGGCGCCTGCATCCCAGATCAGCCTCCTCCCGGTGGATATATGGGTGACAGAACAAGGAATGGACCACAGTCATGGTCGCCATCAAAGACAAAAGAAAATGATCATTTGTTTAAAGATATGAATATAAACATCCAAGAAGCTCACTGAACTGCAAGAATGAAATCAAAGAGACCCACACCACACATTATAATCTGGCCACTGAAAGCCAAAGATAAAGAGATAAGCTTGAATGCAGCAAGAAAGAAGTGACTTGTCACTTACAAGAGATCCTCAGTAAGATTATGAGCAGATTTCTCATCAGAAACTTTGGAGGCCAGAAGGCAGTGGGCTGATATATTCAAAATGCTAAAAGAAAAAACCATCAGCCAAGAATTCTATATCCAGCAAAACTGTCCTTTCAGGAGTGAGGATGAAATTAAAACATCCATAGATAAACAAAAACTGAGGGAGATTGTCACTACTAGACCCACTCTGTGAGAAATCCTAAAAGGAGTTCTGCAGGTTGAAATGAAAAGATACCAGACAGTAACTCAAAGCCATATGAAGAGATAAACAGAAATACATGGGCAATGATAAAATCTAGTGTTATAGTGACAGTGGTTTAAAACTCCAATTTTGGTTCTCTACATGACTTAAGAGATTGATATATTGCTTTAAAAATCATTATAAGCCTAAAATCTAGTATTATTGGAACTTTCATTCTAATTCCATAATTTGGTTTCTATGTAGTTTAAGAGACAATACATTTTAAAAAGCAATTATTAATTCATGTTTTTGGATACACAATATATAAAGATGTAATGTATTAAGTCATGTTTTGGATACACAATATATAAAGATGTTTTTGGATACACAATATATAAAGATGTCAATTTGTGAGAACAGAGCTGTAAATGAGCAGAGTTTTTGCATATTATTAAAGTTGAGCTGGCACAAATTCAAGGTGAAGTATTATAACTTTAGGATGGTAAATGTAATCCCTATGATAACTGCAAAGAAAATAGTTATAGAATATACTCAAAAGGGAATGAAAAGGAATTGAAATGTTTTATTACCAAAAAAATCAACTACACGCAACACAGACACTTAAGCAGGAAATGAGGGAGACAAAAAGCTATAAGGCACATAGGAAAAATGACAAAATGACAGAAGACCTACTTTAATAATTACTTTAAATGTAAGGTACTTAATCTCTCTGAC